TATTCTAGACAAAGAAATGCATTTCCAGACGGAGACTCGGCTGCGCATTATTTAGATAACACTTCTAACAACAAAGCAACTGCCTATATTGAAGTATTCTATCTTATCAGCATCCACTTTCGGCGACCGCCTTTCAATAACATGTCTATTGCATTTAGAACCAAACTTTGCCACTCAGTGGACTCGTGTCCGTAGCACAGATTTTCTTAATGCGAAAACTTACCACTTCGACGCTCAGACCTTGCAGTTAAACAGCTTACACATCAATTGTATCGAAAATAGGTCAAAGTTGCTAAAGATTCGAATAATCTTCCAGGATGTTGTCCAGGTACGAATGTAAAATATTTGTACACCGTCACATCATAAAATCTTCAGCGGCCCAGAAACATCGACGAGGATTGGAGTTTGGCTTTACCGATTCCATTACTAACAAAAAGACTCGGTAAAATGTTACATATTCGAAGCGTGAATTTCATCGAATTGCCTGATGAGCAATTACCTCAAGAAATGCTTGCTTCAGACTCTTGGGAACAATCCCAGTGTCAAATAATTGCCTAAAACTTCGAGGAGATGAAAAAAAAAATTATCCAGTACTCATGTGCTTGGATGTCCACATGTCTTGAATCAGCGACATTGTTTTTTAGTGTTAAACAAGGCGATTCAGCGATAAAACAGCAAATGCAGAATGCCAAACATCCAAGATCAGTTACGACAATATAACAACCATGTTGGGACTTTGTCAATGTGTGTCAGGCAATTGAGACTTGATTTATGTAACAACTGCAAGATTTGAATGAATATGAGTAATTTCATTATGATCGTGCAAATCACGTTTCCCCAAAACAAGTATTAACGAATGTAAGATCTTGAAATTGTCGGTAATAACCGAAATTGACTCTAGCAAATTGTGCGTGATTCTCTGCGTCGGTAGCTATCACCAACAGCACAATCAAAGTGGGCCATTTACTGCTGCAACTTGGTGCTGATCGATTTTGTTCCAAAAGTTCACTTTTGAGAGACCATCTACGCTGAGATCTGCTAGTGAAACACATTGATGTGCCTGACTGACAATATCGTCACCTCGATTTCAGTTCGCGCTTCTTAGCCAAGTACAGCTGTAATTTGCTCGCAGTAGTCACACTTTGCTTGTTGCAATCGTCTCTATCAAATCGACAGCCATGTACTTCGCATCGACCCGCACATAGAAAGCTATTTCAACCATGACCAGCAAAGCATCAAAGAATTCCACCTTTTGTATCCTGACTGCATATACCTCCTACCTGTTTGGTGGTTTGAAATTTGGTCCAAATGATATCGGTATCGATAAATAATATAAACAATACTTACCGATATGTCTTGAATATGTTTTGATGTTTCCGCAATGCCGACAATTTGATGATATCTATGAATAATCCAATCTAAACTTTTGTAGCCTGTTCACAGCGCAAGCTAATCCCAAGAAAGTATCGCTATGTGCAATAAACGCTAAGATTTTTCGAGCGAATAGTACATTAACGTTTGATTAATTTAATTGACTACACATTGCTTTGCTAAAGACGTGACAATGATTCTACGTCGTAGATGAATTCGCCACCATTGAGGATCACGACGTCGCGCTCCTTCACCACAGCTTGAAATAGAATTCTGCCACCAGTTGCTTGCCACATTCGGGTTTGGATAGTCTCGCCAGGGTAGCAAGGGCTTGAAAAACGCACACGGATAGACTTGAATCGCGCCACTTGGCCACCGCAAAACTGTTTAAAAAGCGCACGGCTAGCTATACCCATGGAGCATAAGCCATGTAGTATAGGTTTCTCAAAACCCACGCTCATGGCAACCTCTGGGTCAACATGTAGTGGATTGTAGTCGCCTGAGAGGCGATAAATCTGCGCTTGATGAAGTGACGTTTTAAACTCGTCTACATAGTCAGGTTGGCACTTGGGAATCTGAACGTGGGGTGGTAGCTTGCGACCTTTTCCTTTGTAACCTGTAAGCCCCCGGATAAACGAACCACTTATAAGTTTGACCAGAGGTCCGACTTCGTCCTCAAATTGGGTGTACGTCTCCATTAACGTGCCCGTGCCCTTGTCGTAAAAGGAAATGATTTTGGTTTTTCCCGTGAGAGTGCCACCTGATGGATCCAGTGGCCTCAAGATCTCGATCGATTGCTCGCCATGAAGAATCATGGCCGGATTAAAGCTAGGTAAACCATCGTATGAAGCCGATAAAAATTCAGGTGGATAAGGGACTACATTCTGTGACTGGCCCTTGAAAAGTAAACACACAGGATAGAGCGGAAACGCGGCAAAATTTTCATTATATTCGTACGTGAATTGGAGATTTGACTCGCCGATACCTACGGAATACAACAATAAATCACGCGTGTTGTATGTAACCGTGTGCCTTACTTCTGGACTCTCCAGGATCTTGTCTACGTTCACGCTCATTTTTCGGTCAATACCCTACTATATAGAAAATCACAAGAATACCAGCACAAAGGAGAAGTTACAATATGAATGTAGTCAAACATTTTGTCAAATCTCGATGACATGTAATTTGGCAGGTCGTAGCTTCAGAAATGATCTCGTCCGACAGAACTTCTGGCAAGCTGTCTCCATGGACTAAATCCGTGATTGCCGGTTCAGTGTCGGGTATGGCAAGTGTAACGATTTGCCATCCTTTTGACACAATTCGCACGCGGCTGCAGCTGTCACCAACGCGATTCCGCGGCTTCTTTCATTGCGCCCATCAAACCATTCAGCAGGAAACCATGCGCGGTCTTTACAAAGGTTTTTTGCCGCCATTTTTCAGCCAGGGCGTCTACAAAGCCGTGATTTTCACCACATCTTCCATTTTGCGTAACGATGTTCTGCCGCATCTGTCACTATTTCAGCCTGTTCTTACTCCAACGGTTGTGTCACTGACGGCTGGAGCGGTCGCAGGTGGCGCTAACGCCTTCCTGGTAGCACCCGTGGAGCTCGTACGCAATCGACTACAGGTTCAGTACAACAATCGGCCAGAGACGCAGGTATATCGAGGAGTATATCACTGTATCACTCAAGTGATGCGCACGGAGGGCATCATGGCCATGTGGAAGGGTCTGACAACCACTGTAATTCGAGACTCGTTAGGTGTAGCTTTTTATTTTCTTGGTTTTGACTTTGCCAGACGACGCCTGACTGAAAGTGGAAAGTTTGGAAAGACAGCAACGCTACTCACCGCTGGTGCATTTGGTGGTATTAACTTCTGGGCGGTAGCACTGCCATTTGACACGATCAAAACGCTCATCCAAGCGGATGGTAGGACAGGCAAGTACACAAGTTTTAGAATAAGTGTGGCAAAATTAATACGCGAAGAGGGCATAATGCAGCTCTTTCGTGGATGGCAAGCAGCATTCTTTCGTGGAATCCCAAGTGCCGCTATCACGTTTTGGACTTTTGAAAGCGCAAGCAATATTTTGAATGAGATTTGATCCAATGCGCTGACAGTGAGCAACTTGCTGCAAGACCAGCATGTAGATTGAAATCCTGACAGGATTGCGTAAAGCGCATGTGGCTATTACTAATCTCGATATCTCGGGCCGAAAGCCTTACTTTGTCGTAAGGGAAGAGTTTGTAACAGTTTGTGCATGATCACCAAATAAAATTAAGGCTGAAGCTGTTAAATGCTGGAGCATATGGCTATCAATTGAACTGGCAAGAAGTATCAACACGAAGAAATTTGCCGTGGAAAGTAATGCTTCAGAATTAGTTTGGTATAGACCTACGATAAAGCTATGCGAGCGACTAAGAACTTTGACGTGAAGATTTCATTACTTAACGGACGAATTCAAATCTTAATGTCTGGGCTTTGCCCATATAGTCAGCCTTACACATGATCTAAAAGAAATTTTCGGCGGAGTTACATATGGTGAATTGCGGCACTCTCTGTACTATTCAAGTTGTTCTTAAAAATTCATTATTTTGTACTTCAATTTTTTTTGCTATTGTTATTACTGCGATTGGCTTAAATTATTTTTCGTACTCAGATATATAGCTTGTTTTAATTTATAGTAAAAATGCAGCGTCGTTTGACCAGATCGTAAGAAACGATGCAGGCAGTAGGTCTCTAGTAAAGTGGTAAATTAAAGCTTGCAAAACAGTAAAAGCACCCATTCCCGCCGTTTGTCTTTCAAATAAGAGTATTATGGTAGTTTGATGTCATATTACATAACATCCATGTAACGATTCTTTACCTGAAAGAAAAAGCTACAAAATTGTGAAAGCATTGCCGATTTGAATCTCATACAACCGGCGGTCTGTCCACAAGCGTTGCTTCTTTAAATAAATTTTGACTATTAAAAAGCTGTATTGCCATGATCTATAACGACAATGTCGATGGCGTAACCGATTGACGATCATTTATATAGCCATGTCTGGATATCGGGAGGCTGTCAAACGTCATTACAATACGTAGACTCAGATTTTTTTAATTATAGAATATTAAAGTGTTTATGGCCTTATCAACAATCACCTGTTGTCAGGCCATAAACACATGAACATTCTAGGTACATTAAAAACAGCCCAACCCGGTTATTGAGATATGACTTTGGCGTGTCAGCATGTCACTTCAAGTTGCGAGTGCTGGAAAGGTACGCCATTTCTTCACTTGCTCTACGTCTCGTAAGCCTTAGACCACATTATGCGCACTTCATCAACACTGCAATTTAAGGACAAAGCTGAATCTAGTTTAAATACGAGCATTGCACTTTCGGATGAAGTAAAAGAAAACCCTTTTGTGCTGTCGTCCATGTGTCGTACTCCTAGCTGCGAATGGAATGAATGGGAGGACACGTTTGATATCTTCAGTTCTATTTCAAGCAGTCTACAAGACGTGGACGTCGCTACCGACGTGGAAGTTGACCAATACATGCTTGCAGATGTTGATAACTTCTTCGAGCCGGTGACAGACTCAAATATTTTACCAAATTCGCCAAGATTAAGCGTCGACTTGGACTTCCTTTGCGATCAAGAGCAGGATTTAAACGTGCGTCAGGTCGCTGGCATAGACACGAAAATCGCACAAATGCAGAATACAGTAGCGTGTAAACTCGAGCCACATTCGCTCGCTACAATGACAAAATTGACAGCCCATCGCAGCCGCAAGCGGAAGACAGCGGAGCTCCGCAACATTCGAGGGAAGCCCGAAAGACGCGACCATTCTGGCAAGAAAACATTACGTAGAGAGCGACTGAATAGTAGTCTCCAAAGTGCTAAGGAGCAGATGGAGATGGTGTACAAACGAAGGTATGATATTTTGTATACAATTTTGGAGGCCTGGAACACAGGTGGCATCGAAGACATAGAAGAAATCGCCGATCATGTGTACGAAGACGACGTCACACTCATCAGTCCCGGTTGTTCAAAAAGTTTACATGGTGTGGAGGCTGTAATGTCGCATTGGAGCCAGCTGCTCGATGTTTTTCCCGATGGAATCATGGAGGAATATGTGATTGAGCGAGACGAAGGCAGCAACGAGACGTTGAAAGCCACATGGAGATTTAGTGGCACACAAATCTGCCCAATTCTCGGCGTGAAACCACGCCACAAGAAAGTGTGCATCAATGGCACGTCGTTTTTCACCTTCAAAGGAGATCGTATATGGCGAATGGTACTGTCGTGGAATCTTCGCGAGACGATGCTAAAGCTGATGGGCGTGTTTAAAGATAAAGTAGAGAATGTTGTACGTGAGACATCTGTGGGCTCTATATGTCCCACGGTCCAAATGCCACACCCAGGTGTTGTCCGATCATAATTAACGACTTTGTAATGATAGTGAGGATATTGCGCAGCAGCGTGTTAAGTATACTGCTTGTTCATAATATTTGTAGCAATACATTTGACAGTAATCGTGCTCGCATTGTGTCAGCAAAATTGCAGCTAAATCGCCGGTCAATGTCTGGCAGATTCTGTAAAGATCTCTATCTCCTCGACAAGGCTAACTTTCATCTCTGGTGTGACACATAGCGGCATAACCCATTGCCTATAGTACGATAAATCTTGTACAAATACAGCACGGACAAATATTGTTCAGTCATGTAGCGTAGTGACGACATCCCGTGCACTGTATCCGATAGAGGCATCAAAACGCACAACTCGATTGTCGCGGTGAAGCGTCTACGAAAACTGAATTTATAGATTAGAATCAAGGCTACAAATTGCGGAACTCATTTCCATTTTTGGTTTCGCACGGTCACCACTGATGTTTGCCTAGTTGATTCTTCCTCTTTGCTAAGTGGACGTTAGCAATGATATTTTCTCGCTTGTATCATTTTTTTCCTCATCACCGTTCACATGGACATTCGCTTTTTTATCGTTCAAAGCAACTAAGTGCTGCTTGCGGTTGAAGCATCTAAATGGACTTTGTGAATTATGGGGATACGCCTATAACGGTGCAGGTGCAGGAAGTACTGCCACCACTTGTTTGCTCGGGCCATATAAGCATACAATTAAGCATGTCAAAAGTCACGAAGACCTTTTCAGTTATTGGAAGTCCCAGCGAGCAAGAGGTGTGAACTTTTACTCGTGGCGAAAGCAAATGGAGGTTTGCGCGACAGCAATTGCACTATTGTACTGCTAAATGTTCTTGGAATTTGAGTAGCTGCTCTTGCAAGTGAATAAAATTGAAAACTGTTGCCACTAATGACACTGGCAGTCGCTAATAGCACATGGCGTGTACCAGCACACCTCGGCGCAAGATGAGCATGTTGCTGTGATATTACAATAATTGCTCAAGTTCTCATCGTGTTCTTTGTATTCTTGTACGAATATCAAAAGTTTTCAATCTGAAAATGGAAAACGATCCCAAAGTCGAGTTACGAGTAGCACGGCTTTGATATGTGGCTAGCGACTCGAATAAAAGTTGCCGCTATCGGTGACGTAACACATCGCAGAATGTATTATGCATGTAACAATAATTGCTGGTGTGATAGCTTTAAGAACATTAGTCAAGCAAATTCAATTTGAGTGGTGCTGAACGTTGAAGAAGATAGATTCGGCCAGGCACAGGCTCGCCACTCTCTTTACGCACAGCTACATCTTGCTGGTCAATGATGTTGAAGCCCCATTGAAATGCTAAAAACTTGATGTAGTTGTGCGAGTGTTGGAATCGTCCTGACGTTGCCAATCGAAAATTTGCCGAATCAGTAGTGTCGTCTTTGATATCTTCGAACGGCAAAATCTCGATTGAAAATGCCATCCAACCAGTGGATACTTGCAGCTTACGTGCACTTAATTCAAATACTTGGTCCAGCGAACCAACGTATATCCACACGTCCGCAGCGATTACTAAATTTAATGACTCATCTCCACACGACTTTAAGAAAGGCACAATGTCAAGTGCTATGCAGATATACATATCAACGTGTGACGATAACATGTGCATGTATAATCAACACGTACTGTGTAGTTCGTCGTAACTGCCCCCGTCGCGTGTCTTTTCAATCATCAAGGGCGAAATGTCTACCTGTAAACCAAATGGCTGATTCAGTCACAAGCAGAGAAGTGTAATAATTTCTTGCAGTCTTTCAAACCCCAATGAGATATTTCACGTAGGGACGCAACAGACGTCCACATAGACCAGTGCCGCAGCCAACATCAGCAACAACCCAATCTGCCTCAGTTGTCGAGTTGTTATGATTAAACCCTGGTGGTGACACTTGTTTTAAAGCTTCGACTAGTTGCCAAGGCACACGGTACTCTAAGTGTGCCACCAGCTTTTCCTCAAAACTTTCTGCCAGCTCGTCAAAGACCTTCGCAACATAGGCAGGAGCGGCCATTTTGGTGGTAGTAGCCCCTGTAAGAGTTGCGAGTGAATGTACTGCACGAACGTGGGTGTCACCATGAGTTTTACTAATCGAGTGGTACCCAGTAATGACAAGATCAGGCTCTTCTTGAAAGTACACGGAGCTACAGCAAACATGTAGTACGACTGTCGGTCATTATTATTAGAAGCACCGCTGTGTGCATCGTACCGAAGGACAGTGTGCGCGACAGAGTCGCTATCGTCAAGCCTGACGACACGCAACATGCTCGCTACAGCGAAGTAAGTTTCACCTGGAGCAGCAAAGCGTCACATCGAACACATCAATAGAAGTAACAGAGAACCATTTGTACCGATCGATTGCAGAATGACAGCAATGTTGAAATTCGATTTTGTGCACGTTGGACAGCGCAGCAAGATGTCCTCAAACTTTGACAAAGAAGCAACGTATTGTCCCGATTCGAACAGCTTGAGAGCGTTTTCACGCATTTTGACAAGCTCTGGGTCGTTATCTTCGGTACGTTTGGGAATATTGGCACTCTCAACAGGGACATCGATTTTCCAAAGCGGTCGTAGTGTTTCAAAGGCAGCTACTGGAGCATAACTACATTCCAATAGATCAGCCAAAACTTTCCCTACGAGCAGTAAGTAAACAATATTGAGATATTGTAAGCGAGACAATGAGGTGTGACAGTAAGAAAAATTAAGTTACGGCTGACATGAGTTCAAATTGTCAAAGATCTGCGATGTTTCTTTGTTTTTCTCGCTAACTTGAGGCTGACGATATAAGCTCTGAACAAAAAGCAATAAAATTATCACATGGTCATAAAAATCATGGCCAATTCATTTTTGCTTTCTTACTTCTAGCGCTTTAAAGGATTCTACTGTCAGCGTTTGGCCTTGGGCATCAATTAGTACGCACGCTGGCAGATCTGTCACTTTGTATTGCCTACACAGCAAGCGAAACGTTCTGACGCAGCAATAAAACCAGTTAGGGAAATGTTTTGTTGTACTTTTTAACATCCAGCGCTGCAGTTTACGCTGCATCGAGCCGTTGAGCTCTAACGTTGTTGCTTCTATCGACGTTGCTATCAGTCCGACAAACTTTCAGCAGACCAATTAAGGGCTTCTTTTTGCAATATGCATTGATGCTGTCTAAGAGTACACAAATTCGTGGTAAAGTTATCGTATCAACGGAGTGATTCCAAACGCTCGTGAAGAAAGCAAGCGTGAATTGCGCGCCATCAGCGTCTAGCTCTAAGCTTGCCATCAATGGAGCTTTTCGTAAAGCATTATGTATCCAATCACTCAATACAAGTACGAATTAAAGCCTTTTCGGTTGGTTCAAAATATTGAGTTACCACTTTGTAATTGGTACAAAGTTCGTGTTTCTTCCACGGAGCTCACCGCTGATCTCCAGTCAACACTACAAGCTTCGTGCTGTTTGGCTACTCTCCCTGTGCCTTTTAGTCGTCTTCTTGTCAGTATGGGAGGCTCATCAAGCAAGTCTAAGCGATCAGAATGTAAGCAGTACCCTGTTATGGCGACAAGTGCGACTCCCGTACGTAACGTTTTCCTTACGACGTTCAGCTTTCTCAACTGATGCATGTCCGTCGATTTGATGTTTGTAGGAGGTAGAAGTGCCTGTATTCATGCAGCAAGTTGAGCAGATCGAAAAGGAAAGATCAAAACTTCCGAATCCCGGGCTGTATGAGACTGCGCCCAATGAGCTCAAAGGTCCCGTGAGTCCAGACGCCTTTGACGGCTTTCGCTTTGACTTTACGCGCATCTTAGGCCAAAGTTGCTCCACATCACACTCATTTCTGCTTGGAACACCCATGATTCCTGGTGGTCTCTATCAATTTGGTGCCAACGTCGTGATGGGCGACCCTATGGACCCTTCCACCTTTCTTATGAGCAAGATCACTCCAGACGGCTATCTCGATGCTCGATGGAATCAAAAGCTTTCTAGCAAATGGAAATTGCGAGCTAAGTCACAGCTTAAGAATGAAGAGCATGGCTCACAAGCTCTTGCCGATTTTGACTACACTGGCGAGGACTTTACGTGGAACATAAAGCTTTCAAACGGCCCGCTTCTTGGCTGCAGCTACTTGCAGAGTGTAACCCCGAGGCTTGCCCTCGGCGGTGAGGCCTACTATCACGGCAAGCACCGTAAGATTATTTCGGCGTATGCTGGCAAGTGGACTGAACGCGACTGGGTGGCTATGGGCACCTATGGTGCCATGGGTACACTGCAGCTGGCGTACATGCGCAAAGTAGGCCACCGAATCCGCTACGGTTCGGAGCTTGTTTATAATTATGCGTCAGGTGAAGCACAGACTACATGTGGCGTTGAGATGGACCTAGGTCAAACTCGATTCGTGTCTAGTGTGGACTCAACTTTCCGCGTAGCAACGAGTATCGAAGCGCGTGTGCTGCCTAACTTTGTGCTCTCGTTGTCGGCAGAGGGCTTTCCGCTTAAGGATGACTTCAAGTTTGGCTACGGCGCGCAGCTTTCGTTCTAGATTTAGATAATCAGCGCAGATTAAGGTAAAGGATAGCATTTTATTAATTAGTCAGCTGCGTGATAAGCTTAGAGCAGGGATGAACGGTTGAATTTGGACACATTTTGTAATGCCTTAATGCTTTTGAGGTATGAGGTTTAGAAATATGCGGTGGACACGTCAATACATGGAGGGTAGAACTTAACATATAAAAATAGTGTCTCGTTATAACCGACTTAAAATTGAAATGACGAGCAATATTGTCTGCATCTCTCCACGTCATTTGGAACGCAAGCTAACAATAGTGAAACACCTAAACGGCTTTTTTCATTCCGTCCGCTTGACAATGTCATTACAAACGCTTTTGCTAACACTTTTAATGAGACCAAATCATTCTCAGTCTGTAATTGCTGAACAAATTGAAGCACAGCTATCTCAAAGCGTTATATCGCGTTAGAAAGGCCATTCACCAGCAGGTTTGGTGTTGGATCGGCGGTATCCGCTATTTGATCTCGATGGATACGAGTTATCTTCACTCCGTAACAAGTCCCCACTGGTTCCACCTTCGACATTCCTAATAACGAGCACATATGTGAATGCTATTTACGTAACTTTCATCTAATCAAAGGTCTTACAAAGGTCCCTCAAGCACGGAGTGGAAACCGAAGAGTCGTGGAAGCGAGTAGATCAACAGCTCTTTAAAAACACGGGCCTCGCCAACGTTAAGCGTAGCGACACACTCGCTCTCGTGCTTAACTTTGATCAAAATTAATGGGTTTCCATCAGGGCCTGATGTGCGCGTAATGTAGAGCGACTTAGAATTTTTATTTTCCTCAGACGAGTTCATATTAGGCGAGTGAGTAAACGAGAGCTCTGGGATGCGAGAGTCAAGCATCTCCAGCACCAGTCCCACCTCCGACGGACCCAGTGAGAAAAACTGCAACAAGCGTCAGTTACAATCGCTGAAATTAATCGAGTTACTTACAGTTTTATTTTGGTAGTTATATCCTGAGTTGGTAGACTTAGCCCACGATAGCATCATGGCTCCCTATCAAACGATAGTATGTGGATCAACCAGCATTTAATAACTGCAGAATTATTTGATTCCTCAACAGCTTACCACTCGCTTAGTCTTCAGGTAGCTGCCATTGTTTGTGTACTGCGGGGGGCTTGGGGCTACTTGGAAGGCTGAGTCACTGCTGTAAACCGAGAAATTTGGGAACACGCGCTCTGTGGCTAGTTTTGGAAAAATGAAACGTGTTTGGAATAAAAATAGTGTTGCTTAACTTGAGCTGCACGTACAATACAGAACAGTGCTGCGAAAAGCCGCGTTCAGCCTGAGGCCTGCTGTCTTACGGAGCGTCTGCAAAAGCGCCATTTTAATCAATTGTGACTGGTCGTGACGATGTAGTAAAAAATGTAGCCAAAATTGAACTTAGGACATGAAACGACGTGAATACTTTGCTGCATACTTGCTGTTACTAAAGTCATGCTTCTATGCTGTGCGGCGGGATCAACTGTCAAAACCTTCGAAGTGACTTTGGAAAGCATTATTCCACAGCGCACTTTCAACTCACATAATGCCGATATCACCTCCGTCCAGTACAATCACAATGGACGTATTTTAGCTAGTAGCAGTGTGAATGGTAGGATTTGTCTTCATGTGCCGTCCTCTGGAGAAAAGTTATCGGAGCTCTTTTATCCTACTGATGCACCGGATCAACAAGTTCGTTCAGTCATTTAATTTTCATCTTGTTTTGCTTGCTTTAATAGCTTTTTGTTGCAGCAAGTAAATGCACTGCAGTTTAGCAGTGGCTCAAGATTTCTTGCTTCTGGTGGCGACAATGGATTCGTTCGGGCAAGTTGAAATCGGCATCGACATATGACCTCATTGATTTTGTAGTGACTTATTCGTTCATTGCCCTTTTAGTTGTGGGATCTTAAGACTCAAGAGATTATGCAAACGTATAATATCAGTTCGAGTGCTATTACGTCAGTAGCGTTTGGCGGATATAAAGACGAATGCATTGTCGGGGGTACTGCTAGGTAATTCACGTATAACGGCAAATTTGAGAACAAAACTGATAGTAGTGCCTGAATTCTAGCGGTGCCATCTACATCTGTGATGTTCAAACAGCAGAAATTGTCAGATCCTTAACGGTTGATCCAACTCATGGGGTATGCTCTCACATACTTTTCATTCGTTACAGAAAATATGTGATTGAGACTCTAATAATATTGTTTTGCCGAATAGATGCATCAAGTGATGGCGATCCAAACGTCTCCGCATCCCATGGCTCGGCATGTACTCGGATCCACGTACATGGATGGATCAGTGCGCGTTTGGAATCTTGCTACGGGACAATTAACGGCAGAATTCGTTCGACAACACGAAGCACCAGCCACATCATTGACACTGTCTTCAGTCAGCAAAGTTTTGCTCGCATCCGGTGGATTTGATGGTCGAGTCATTTTTTACGATACTGTTCAGCGCAAGTATGACAATAATGTCCTGATTTAAACGTACAACACAGCTGATCTGTATCTTGTGTATATCTAGGAATTTACGCTCGCTCGACTTGGAGCAGCCAATATCGTCATTAGCTCTTTGTGCTGATGGAAAGACTTTTGCAGTGGGCACCACAACGGGTGAAATCCACTTGTACGATCTTCGGGGAGCAATTTCACCCTTGTTTTCAACCCTTGTACACGAAACCTTCGCTGTCCAATCCCTCCACTTTTCACCACTCGCATCTGACGTCAATGTAGGCAGCATTCCTGCAAAAAATATTCCGGCAGAATCTGCTCACCACACGTCAACTGCCGAAACGATTAATAATGGAGACGTCGTAACCAAACTCAAGAAAATCGACCGTCTGACGAGCAAAAGTCACGTCTCGTACGAACTGTCTTCGTCGCCAACACTTGATTCGACTCGATTGGTAACTCGCACCAGTAGGTTTCATCTTCATTGACTAATTATCCGTATTTGACATATGCTTGTTGTCACGATAAATAGTGGAACCCAGCGGTATTGTACCTCCACGGACACAGTCAAAACGATTGCTGACACCTGCCACGCAGAATCCACCTCAGCCAATCTTAAACATGAGCTCAAAGACCTCAACAACCCACGCATCTACTGATGAAATTGGTCTTTTTTCTTCTCCGACATATAGGCAGACGCTTAAGCCAGCGGAACATGCGAAAAACGACGTCGACGCAATGACCTGCTCGTCTCAACAAGCAGATTTAACAAATTTATCAATGCGCGCCGAGATCCAACATCTGAGAGAGGAGATTAACCTGCGCCATCAAAAAGACATCGAGCAACTGTCAACTATGTTTGAGACTTTGATGGACCAGTATGACGCTGTAGTAGAGGAAAATCGATCACTGCGACAGGAGAATGAGTGGTTAAAAGCTCACATATCAGCATCATAGTTTTTTGTTGTTGTTTTATATTCCACGCTTTGTTTCCCATTTCGCATTTGCAAATCGGAGGTGTCCGCCCTGAGCGATCGCAATACGGTCATTAAATGGGTCCGCGGCTATACAAGTCGCCGGTTTATCGATGTAGCCGCAACTGATGACGTCACCATCACTTGTTCTGTACAATGTAAGATCATGTTCGCGAGCTGCTACAATCTTCGAGCCATCCCCAATGAAAAGTGGATGGAAGATCGCTGCGGTGCTGTTGTTGTACTGGCGATAAGTACATACAGGTGCTAACGTGTTACGCACGTCAAACATATAGAAATCAGGATCGAAGCCTGCTGAGAGTACCAAATTGTCATTTGTAGGGTGAAACTGAACACTGTTGATCGCTCGAGAATGCACACTAGGGATCATCACCACAGTAGAGCTTGGACCTAAGCGTACGTCGTGAACTCGTAGCACTCGATCATTCCCACCAGATGCGAATAGCTGTGGGTGGCAGTGGGAGAATCGCACGCATTTAACGACTCCCTCGTGCTCTTTGAATCGCTGTTTGATCACAAGCAAACTCGTATCGGTTCGAAGTTGTGATAGTGCAATCGTGGTGTCTTTTGAGCACGTAATGATTGAATTCTCCTTGACGTCCAAACCAAAAATCCCCTTTTCATGTAGATTCGTTATTGTGAAGACTTCTTTGGGCGTTTTCGAGACGTGAGAATAATAATTCAAGTCCCAGAGCTTCAACGAGGCATCATTAGACACTGTAAAGAGTAAATTTGTTCTCTCTTGAATACCTTGAGCAAAGCTAAGTGCAGCAATCCAACCATTGTGTGCCTTAAATGACATTAGCGGTTTGTGCGTTTCAGCAAATGTGTTATCCTTTTCTGATCGGTCGTAAGGATCTGAGAGTGCAAATATTGACGCAAGACCACCGTGACCCCCCATGGCTCCAAGTCCATTCTCTTTGAAAGACGTGAATGAAATGCTATAGGTTTTTTTCAAGGCATTGTCATACAAATAGGATTGTGAAGCCACGTGGTACCCCACGAGCTCGCGGTCTATGTTGTCCAATGGTGAAGACAGCAGCGAATTCCAATCACTGTGATTATCGTTGACAGTGTATTTTAATACATTGGACTCGACAAACGAAGCTTTCAGGACCGATGTATCAAGCTCACCAGATTTTACATCCTTCTCTACACACTCATTTGACAATATTCGTGATTCGGAGGCAACTTCGGAAGCAACATTACCACGGAGTCGTCTCGACCTTCGCACTGAATGCTTTTCCGGTATCAGCTTTGCTTTTGCACGTTTATTTGCTTGACGTGTGTGATCTCCTTGTACTTGCTTAGTCAATTCCAAGTGGGTAGAACTCATGCCAATCTTCTCCAGAAATCTGGCATTGGCCGCCATCTTCTTCTGTCGCTTTTTTTCATAAAGTGAAAGCTCGATAGTTTGATCCAAAGTAACCGCTGAAGAGGAGAGCAAAGATAATCGAGAATCACCGCGGTAATGTTGTCGCTTTCCCGTAAACTTTGAAGCCTCATGTGACAAAGGTTTCACGTCATCATTAGTGGGCAAGCTTTTCCTTAACTTTTGCCGAGCATCAGAAGTCGAGCAAAGCGAATCCAGAGCGACTGCAGGTTTGTTTTCTTGTAGAACCACAGCTAAATTATCTTTAGGAGGCCGTTCTTCTTTGCCGACCGGCTTAAAGTAGTCCAGAATACTTGGCATCAATTCTTGATAGGCAAAATTTGTTTTTGTAAAGCATAACAGGTTTGATAGGCTATATTTCTGTTGAATATGGCGGACAGCGCCCTACCGATGGTTCTAAGCGCTGTGCAAGCGCTTTATGGAATGGTCTGTTGCTTTGCAATTTGATTGCTCATGTGCGAAGCTCCAGCTCCTGCGCTGTTCCTTTGTAAGCCTATTGACTCATTATCTTTTGTAAATGTAATCTTAACTCAAATAGGAAGGAGCTGAGCGACAACGAGAAGCCAATGAGTTCCTACACACTTTTGCAGCTTCCGATATGGCATGGTCAGTAGGTTTTCAGCTATTGCAGGATAAATCATTGGCATTGTCCTCCGAAGCACTTTTCTTCGCAGCCAACATGCTGCACACAAAGGTGCGCAAGGAATGGGTACGACTGCCAGCAGACCAAAAGGGTGCCTTAACGATGTCGCTGCAAATGCTGATATCAAATTCAAGGGATAGTATGCAACCAGCTATTCACCAAAGACCGCTAGCTAATAAACTGTGTGCCATCTATGCGGTTGTCATGATCTCATCTCCAGACGACTGCTCAGCTTTATTATCAAGGCTTTTGGCGAATTGCTCCTCCGCAAGCGCTGAAGAGATCTCGTTTCTGCTAATCTTTGCTCGCTGTATTTGTGAAGAGATAGAGGATGCTGAATTATCGTTCGCAGTCAAGGATGCAATGGAAATACATCTTTCTGCTCTGAGTGATGATATCGTATCGTTAATTGAAAAAATTGTACTTACGAAAGAGGACCAAGATGTACGTGTGGCTGCTCTTCATGGTGAGGCTTTAGCATGTTTAATGGTTTGGGTTCAACGAGCAGGTCTCTCATTAGCATCGATGTACTCGAACAACGACGCTGTACTACGTGAATTATTAAATGCACTACAGAACAAGTCACAACATCTACACTTATGTGCCAAAATTTTGACAAAGCTGATGACAGTCGCATCGTATCCGACTCCTGCTAAATTGCAAGAGACGCTGTTGGTCACAGCACAAGGACTGCTCCAAACGCGAGCTGCATTGGAAAGCGCTGTTGCTCTTGATGAAGAGGACATAAGCCACGCGCTAACTGATGTCATATCAACCTTTTGCGAAACTTATGCAGATTGGATCTTAGATGGAGAACATCCGCAAGAATCTGTTGCGCTAAGCGAGCTAATGCTGTATTTAGGCTCTCATCATCGCCGTCAAATAGCGTCTCTTACTCTTGAGTTTTGGTTAGTTGTCCAAGACGAGCCTGTCATGTCACGACTTCAATTTTATCAACATGATGCCTTTGTACGACTGTATGACGTTATGCTCATGCAGTGCCAGTATCCCGTCGGAAGTGCAGAAGATCTGGATGAACTTGAGCTCGATGATCTTAATTCTTTTCGAAATGGATTTCAAGGGGTCTCAGAAGTTTTCATATCGATTTTTTCTTTGTTAAAAGAAAGATACCTTATACATCTACTTCCAATCGTTCTATCAACTACATCAAGTGAGTGGCAGAGCGTTGAAGTCGCTTTTTTTGCTGTCTCGACGGTTGCCGATGAGATTACGAAGAAACTGGTCAACACATCTTGTAATACCGACCTAGAGACTGTGACTTCACAATTTTTACAGGCTGCACTAAGAACAACAGGAACAACACATCCTTTGGTCATCACTGCAGCTTCACGGGTAATCGGTCAATTTAGTGCCTGGATCAACGAGAAAGCTCTAGCATTAGGCGCGTTTGATACGGTGAAGGCTGTTCTTTTGTATTTAACAAGTGCTCTTGGTCTTGAAATGAGTTGTTCCAAAGCTGCAAAAAGCTTTATGCAAATTGCAACGAATTGTGCGAGCTGTCTTGCTGACATGCCGCCGAGCCTCCTTGTGACCAGCGTGCAGCACTTTGCTGCCCCTGGACACTTCATGCCAATCGACGATCGATTGCTAGTTGTCGAAGGCATCGTCCGTGTCGCAGCAGTCTCTCGTCACTGCTCGGAAATCCTGTCGGCCGTGTTATCAGATTCATTAACCCGTTTGGACCAAATATTAGTAACAACAGGAATTGATGATGTGGCGGTGGCTCGTATTGCGTGCAATGAGCTACAGGTACTAGGTAAGGTGATGCGATTCCTAGACGCGCCTGCAGATGTAGCGGGAGGCAAGAATATTACAAAGTGGGTAGTTGAGCAAATTTGGCCTCATCTAAACCTTTTAGCACCACGATTTGAAGTTGATGAGGGTATCACGACAGCTCTATTTGAGTTGTATGGGTGGTGCTTGCAGAGTTTAAAACAGGAAATGGCCCCTCATCTCAATGGCATTGCAAATCTGATTGTACGAGTGTTTGAGCAGCGGCGCTTTGTTGCCCCACTCCAATGTGCGTCTGTGACTGTTGATGTCTTTGCAAAGGAGTCAAATGCCGAAGTTGTTGAGAGTTTTCGTGGCCTAATCGGCGCATTGAGTCAGTCAGCATTTCAATTTTTCAAGACACATTCACTGGCTGAATCACCAGATGTACTACGTTCATTCTTTGAGCTAGCGTATCGCTTTCTACTTTTCTGTCCAGCAGCAATACTACCAAGTGCCGAATTTCCGGTGCTTATCGATCTCAGCTTGGCCTGCTTAGGCAATCAGGATCGTCCCTCAACAAATGCAGTCATCATGTTTCTCACTTATTTGCTTAACGAAAGCACTTCCAAATTGGCATCTTTCACACCAACCATTAATGCCAGTGTCTTAAATGCTGGCCAAACGGAGAAGTGGGTTGATAACCTTCTTGATGCGCTTGCCTCAAAGAGTCCGAGTGCTCTCTACGATTCGCTGTCTAAACTATTTTATGCACTATTGACTAGTTTTACCAACAATGAACGAGTAAGAATTGCTCTGATTCAATCTCTAGCCCGCGACGCAATAGGTTTGACTGAGTTGCGCCCCGACGACCGTCAGCAAGTGCTACATATATGGTTATCGCTGGCCTCTCAGCCATCACTTTATTCCGAAAGACGATTTCGTGGTTTATGCTCTGATTTTGCCAAAGTTTGTCGAAGAGAATTGACAGTGGATACACTTTACTCAATTGATGCCTGATTAGCCTCCGTAAGAGACGCTTGACACCACACTTTCGTGTTCAATTTTTATCACATAAAGTTGACAAAATAAAGCTTTCTAATCACTATAGTCACACCAATAAATGAGGCATTTACAAGTGATAGCAGCAGCGGCGACTACAGTCTTAGACCAATTCTCCAACCTAAACATACATAACCGTGAATATTCACAATACTTCTTTATCAAATATTTGCCACATACGATAGGGTACTTCTCGTAGTAAAATTGTTTGGTTTCAGCCAGCTCTTTCAGTTTGCTTTCGTCGAAATCCGAGGTATCGTCGCTGATATCCTACGGAAAAAGACGACAGAATTACGTCATTATATAATGCTTGTCAACTACAAGACTACCGTTCGTACCTCGATTTCAAGCGAACCAAGAGCCAGAGCACGCGTGCAAGCCTGCAAAATACGTATCATGAAGGTGCAAACAACAAAACAAGAAAATGTGTTGGAAGGTTATGCATGACATAACTTCCATTTAAAAAGTTGTGTCAACTGTACCGTTCCGGCAAAGAGATTGTACGTATTGCCTTTACCGTAGAACTTGGCGCCCGATGTTACGTCCAATACCTGCAGTAGCCACCACATCAACTTTCGTCAATCCTGTTACTGCTTTTGCAGCTTCATCGCGTACCTTGCCGCCGACAGCAAGTAGAATTGGAGCCTTCTCATCGGAGCCATCGTACCTTCAAGCAAATATTCAATAGGATATATATGTGCATGTCATTATTAACGTTAGATGTATGACAAACATTCGTAGCTGGTCCAGAGTGTATTTAGGCAGCCCCTTTGTCTCGACTGCTGCTTCGTTCTCGGTGCCATTTCCGGTAATAAGCATCGAAAAGGGATATGGACAGCTGTAACCACTGTTTATGAGAAGATGTTCGAGCTGCGGCCACGCCAAAGCTACAAGAGCCACCACTATAGCAACACCGAATAAAAAGAATCGTCCGAAGCCCATTTTCTATGCTGTTGCTGTTTTGCAGATTGTGTCATACACGCGGCAGTTGATGTACGAGACACCATCTTCAACAACACAATAATTACAAGATGAACTGTTTTGCAGAAACGCGGCGGTTTATGTACGAGACATCATCTTCAACAACACAATAATTACAAGATAAATAGCTCTTATAAAAGAGCTGATAGACTGGTGTAGACGCTTATTTGTTCAGAACTGCGCCATACTCCAAGGCTGACAGGGTAAATGGCGATCGAGCACGTCATTGTTCTATCAGAACCTAGAAGGAACAAGGGAGAAGGACAATGATGAAATATCATGATAAGTACTCGCTTTGCCATGTGCTACAAGGTAGGTATTGTATTTTTGTATATGCACACATTACTCTTGTGCAGCATATAATTGAACAAAAGACACATTTACGTTGTGTTGTACTTGTGCAAAAGTCAGACGTCCGAAGTATTGGTACTAATGACGATGAGGAACCGCAAGGGATAACCGTGTAGCTCATAGGCTCTTAGCTTCATGACAAGCAATCCGAAATCTTGTATCATTGGATATATTGAAACGTTGATATCGAGTACTTGTTTGAGAAAAATCAAGCCTTACTACATGCCACTTTGGAAGTCAATATGAGCAAAGAAGACCTTAGTAACTTAAGATTCTCTCGATTTCGCTTCTGGCCCCTGAGTGAAGCATCCGAACACGGAGACGGGCGTCTAAGAGTAGCAATTAAAGGGGTCAGAGTCTTTAGGTTACCATTCGTGTAACGATGTAACGGTTCGCTATGTCAGCCATACCGTGCGACACGTCCACCTGGCGGATTTGTAAAGCTTCATAAAATTGTCCCGAGGAGATTATTCACTTGTGAACAAGAGTGGTTGAGCTATTGCTCATACTTACTTTCTTAATAACCTCAGGTAGAAAATTTCATTGGACATAAAAAATGATCACTAAGCGACGAATGCAAATAGTTGCACGACGGTGAGGTCATCAAAATTGCACAAAAGGAACTGGGAGAAGAGTAAGGGTCATTGTTTGGTCATGGTGGGCCTTCTTATAATTGCGTGCTGGGCACTGAATGCGAGTGGAGGGACAGCTATCTATAAGGATCCTCCGAATCCTCTTAGTCTTTGTTGAAGTATATCTCGACTTGGGGACAACAAACCCACCATGGATGTTGCCCCCGGGACGAAGATGGCGTCACTAAACTGGCTTTTTTCATTAATTTGGGCGAGATGCTATGGGAGTGGATGTTATGGTCTAGACTATCTTAGAACAATCGACGCTCAGACGTCAAGTGACGAAACTGTGTAGGTAGCATCGCAAATCCAACATTTATTTGTTATTGTGTGGAGCACAAAAAATCCGATGTGAACATCGAGATTGATAACGTGCGAGCAGTAGTCGAGTGCATGCGCAAGAACATGGTCCAGTTTAGAAAATTGTGTGTTTTGACGCGAATGAAATCCGCTCCATGGGCTTCCTTTTTGGAAAACGTGACAAGATCCGCAAGGATAAAGGCCATCGTTGAATGATGAGTGCCGTTGAAATTCTGGTTAGCGATTCGCACAAGTGTAGCGCACAGTATGCTGACATGGCTTGCTCTCTCACCCATCTCCTCAAAAGATGTCAATTTGTGTTGGAGTGCGGCAGATGCGGTGGCTTTCAAGGTTGTGGGGAAAGTCTATTGAGCACCTCGATTTTGGTCGTCCTGATTCCTTGTAGACCAATTTATATCTTACACGACGCATTGGTCTTTGCTGTAATCAGTTTGCTGCTTCAAGCGATGCCAATGAACATGATTGCATCATCTTAGTTGAGCCACAGATGAAAACCACTCATTCATGACAAGAAGCTACTTGCTTTCGTAATATGCTCTTGTCAAATTCAGGGTGTCACCGCTCGTCTCAAAGACATCTGTAATTGATGCACCAGCGATCACAGCGACGTCGTCACCACATTTGTCACAGAAAGTGGCAAGATGGGTAACCTTTATTTCTGAGTACACCTAATTAGTCGAATCGACCTAATGCGATATCGGATACACTTGCAAGCGGCTCCGACTGTGAATTGTCATGATGGCCACATTGAGCGAGGATGAGGCAAGCGTAAGAAAATATTGTACAGATGGTATTTGATCGATACATTTGGTTGCATACGACAATCGTTATTTCGTACACCAAGACTTGCTGTATCCCAGCACTGATCCACTTGACACAGGATGTATGTAGATGGTGGTTCACGATGAAGACCAAAAGTACAGAATGACCTTCGACCACTTTAGGAGCCACTTTGGAAGAAAGAGCAAACTACTTAGCGGGCACGATGTACTAGTGGCCCAGGATGTATTAGTGAGAAAGCACGTGTGTGCGAAAATGAGATAAGTGTCAGCGCCTAACCCATCGCTGGTTGCGTCGGTGTCCACAGACTCCGACGCAACTGCCTGATCCGGTAGAGAATCAGCAGACCATTTTTCGGGCTGAATTAATGGACTATCGGTAGAAGCGTCAGGTAATTCCAGCATTTAGGTCGTCTTGAACCGTCTAGACAAAAAAAATCATCTCGCCGCTGTCAAAAGACCGATACCAGTATGGATACAGTATAGCTGTTTCAAGGCAAAGCGTTTCGTCAACATGGCTTAGAGATGGCAAACGTTTTCAGCAAGGTGGTGTCGAAGGTAGTTCAAGGTGTTAAACATCAGGTTGAACATGCTTATGTCGACCAATACGGGACAAAAAATCCGGTGAGATGCGTTTATCGCGCTGTAGAAAATATTTGTTAAGCACTTGCACTTAAAGACCGCGGTGCGAAGGCAAAATACACCCTCTTGGGACTATGCAGTACATCCCCCAGCAAGTTTTACTCGATTTTTAAATGGTTTGGTTCGACCTCATGTTCGCGTTGCACCACCACAAAGTGGTGGTTCGATCCGTGGCTGTCGATACGATACCTCTGACATTCTCTCGGCTACTTTTAGTAGTAATATTATGTATCGATGACACTGAGCGTGATACATCAATTGCGTGGCACTATGGTTGTAGGCTCTGATGTGCAAAAGCGATATACAAATACTAGCGGCAGACAGAGCAGACGTGGATATGTAATGCCTAAAAACATAATTGAATTATGTGAGCCGCCTGTCTGCTATCTATATTATTAATGCCGCCCCCAACCACGTCGAACCGTTTGATCGGGATGTAGCTATACTCCAACAAAAAGACATTTCATGCTGATTTGATCTATAACACGATCTCGCTCTTTCGAGCAATTTGGATATGAAGCGCTGATTTAAAGACGGAGACGCGTCTCAAACCTCGCCTATAATTAAGCTGCCTTTAGATTTTAAGCGGCATTGTGTTTTTCTTGCCACCCCGTCAAATGCGTCGGCGTTTGAAGTCAGACGAAGTTTAGTACTGATAGTACGCAAACACTTTTGAAGAGAGACGACATACCGTCATAACCGGATAGAGGCCACAGATCACAGCTACAGGATGGTAGTCATTCGATGAGCAAACGATAGCAACCCTATTTTACGTGGAACAGCATACGGACTGGCGGGCTACCCTGAGCCTTAAATGTATCTGATTATGGCAGTAAAACCTCATCATGAAAGGTTGAGGCTTCATTTCGGCAAGATTGTGATAATGACGTTGCCAATTGTGACATTGTAATCTTTCGCTTTTAATTTTAGCAAAAAATGGCAGATTTGCCTGGCTAAACGCGCTTCCAACTTGCGAGAAGGTCCAACCTTGCAGTCACACCATCAGGCCTAAAAGCATGACCAGGGTGTCATTGAATGCTCAACTTTGTGAGGCACTAAACACGACGTGTAAGTCCTAGTGGATACTTATTACCACATACTCTTGTTGTGAAAACATTCTTGCTCACATCGGTGATCCTGTCAATACAGCTATCTGCCATGTTCCAAACCTGGAACAAGGCCGAACCACTATCAATAGCGAGATGTGCATCACGCTGCTTGTCACTGTCTCAGCTCTGAGAGGAGGAAAGACAGAGTGTGCAACAAACGTAAGAGGCAACGACACATGCCAAACTGGGCTTTAGCTCCTATGAGCTACCAAAGTGCTAGTTTGTATCCTCTCAAATCATCAGATCTCGGTGAATCTGCTGAGACTTCACAGTTTACCTTCTCCAACACCCTCCCAGCAACATACAAGCCCAATTCCCCATCATTTCGGTTTTTGTTCCGGCCACCGGCCACTCTATTCCCGTTCGTCGCGCCTTACATAGACACTTCGCGACCTCGCCTCATGATTAGTTTCATTTCGCGGGTATTGCTGCCACCGGCTTGTGCCTCGTTCCCGTGTCACCGTTTCGCCTACCCTACCGCTCTTTATACTGACTTTTCCATTCGTTCACTGAATCTTGAGCGCAACGCATCCGATTGATTGGACAAAATTAGAATCTCTCGATGGATTACGATTGAAGTTGCAATAAACCGTGTATTTTTGTATAGTTTGTGTTGCGACGCTTACATCTAGCATCCTTGTGACTACATTCAAAAACCCTAAAGTTCAAGGTTGAGCTTTAGCTGCATTCAGTAATCTGCGTGTATTAACTGTTTTTGGCCAACCTGTCGTCCGTTGAGAGTTTTTTGTGCAATCTCGCGACTATCAGGTCAACATCGAGGTATCTTTTTTGTATGCACGTCAGATGATACTTTACGGGGTTGAACAACTCATGAGCGTCACGATCCGTAAGTGTCCTAAGTACAACAAATTGTGCTCTTTGGGTCTAGCCTATCATCATAAAATTAATTTATCCTAGCAATTTATGACCGCCTTGTTTGAACGGTTTGTTTAAAGAAGCGCAAGACCCATTTGAATTGTTCCGTCGTATGTCCATCACCAAATGGAAATCTGGAAGAGCATTATATACTTTAAGTGTGTTGGCTATCTGACCGGGTTCTTTACGCAAACAGCGAGCCCCTCCGAGAAATATTCTCTACTCTAGACAAATATCGTGCTTTGCTCAACATAGTTTATTCGGGCATAACCACCATATCTACAGCTGCGCCCTAGCCAACTGTCTGGAGCTCTGATGCCAGTATGAATGGAAAGACGACTCCGCCGGGCATCAAGCTTTAAACCGAACCAGAATCAAGTTTAACGTTCGGAACCGGGTTGAGGTTGACCAGGACGAGCAATCTGCTCATACTATACGAAGCGGTCCTGACTGTGTTCGGACAGGAAAACTAGTAATGCGCACGACCGTTGATCCACTATTAGAAGATGCAACGGGCAGAAAATTCATTCAAAACGTACAAAATGGGACCATCAACTACCGGTAGGATCTGTTATCACAAACTCGAGTGATAAGTTGAAGTCCTCTACTCGCTAATGTAATAAATTCTGGATCACCAATTGATATAACGTTCTTCGCAGTGAAGTATTCAGCGCTCCTATCGGCTTTTTGTCAGGAAGCCAGTGAACAAGAAAATAAAATAATGGCAATTGGATGAAACTTTAGTATCTGGATTAACTGCCTTGTCCGTAGTTTTAGCATGTGAAGAGGAAGTATGCTCACTGAAAAGTGTGCATACATCTCTCTTTAAACAGCTAGTGTTATGGTGTAGGAATTCCAACATTGCATCGCCAAATTCATCGAGCAAGATGTTCTCAAAATAAGATCACCCAAAAGCGTATTGTTACTGCAGCTGTAGAATTTCGATGCTCTTATTAGCTTCCGTCAATCCGCCAAAACCAGTTTTTTGCTGACTCAGTGTATCGTACAATCAGCGCAGTGCCAATCACGGCTCAAGGATCTTCGTATTTCTTAGATTACTTGCGGGATCTCTATGACATAGAATCTATTGATGTTGCGCATTTTGTAAGGCAGCATTTTTGAACTCAATGCTTCGAGCCACAACCCTTCATAGCACCATCATTGGCCTCCATATGTATCAATTCAGTGAAAATGTAAGCAGTACTCGAGCCACAATTTCCCAAACGACTTCAACATCCTGGATTTTTTTCTGGAGTGCCTTAAACCTTCTCTATTTTGTTGGAACGGTCGCGGCAACAATTTTCACTTGCCAGTATATGTGGTGGGTGTACTTAACCAAGCAGCTTTTTTGCTTTTTATGTGACTGTTGAATGATTTCTTGTTGGTAAACAGTCGCCTTTTGTAGATTCTAGAGCCTTAGTAGAGGCTCACGGAACATGGTTGAGCTAATTTAAGACGTACAGCGACTTCTCTCGGAAACCAAAGGCTATATATGAAGAGACAGAGCACGGCAAATAAGACCCGCTGTAGACCGGCAAACACAACATTCACATTTTGAACATGCTTTCGGTCACTCATCTCATCTCCAGCTCTCAACGAGATACATATGTTATTCTTGTGTCGTCATATGATTCCCATTTTGGCAATGATGAAGACCTCACAGTAAGAACAATTGTTTGTCATTACTTAGTTCCACGCTTAGCAACGAGACGGTGTATGTAAGTGTTGTTTTTGGATCTGATAAATCCAAAACACGTAATGACAGCTAAGTTCTCGCACTTTTCACTTACTTCATCTGTGTAGCCAAGATGAAGATGACCTGGCTTCGCACATAGTCATGAAGAAACCGTCACAATGAAATCTCTTTTTGTCCAATCCAAACTACTTTTGTTGTGCTGATGCAGCTGCAATTTAGTGATTAGCCTTACGCGTTGGGCTTTATCGGAGCTTGGCGTTTTAAACACCAGAATACAGCGGGTTACGCAAACTTAATGCGCAAAAATCGATTCGATGACGTTTTTAATTTTTTATCTATCTCATGAGGGAAATCATGTCGGAGGTCATAACAGCATAACAAAGACCACATACTTGCGGGTTTCATACTTTTAATGTTAAATATGCAAATATGAAATGCGTGCCGTGGTGACGTACCCCATAGCTTCATTGTGATCCGGGTATCATCACGAATCGAACGGCGTCGGCTGAGTGAACTGCGGCACGATTTCGACCATCCAACGATGCTAACTTTGGGTATTTTCTTGACTACTGCATTTACATTCGAATATGGTGGGTTAAATGGCAATAAGATGATTGCTGTGAAATTGCTACAAGAGTCGCCGCAGTCAACGGTGCCATCGTTTTCTTTAATCTGAATCCAATCGACTGCAATAGAGCACCATTCCAACATGAACAAGCCGACACTCCAAAGTACCGTTCGGAAAAAGAACGCAATAATCAAGTTTGCAGCCGATTTTATGTCTTGTTGAGCGAGTTCAAAGAACCTTTTTGGCCGCCACAACTAGACTCTCAGTACCAAATGTCCGGCGTAACGATGGGTCGACACGGATGATCCTGCAGAAATTGATGTTGACATTGTAGATGCTGGGATCAACTTTTCAGGCAAGATCCCTTGATCTTCAAAACTTAAGGAAATCCCTTCACCTGGCTCGAACGCTACAGCAGACAGCAGCAGTGCCTGCTTGATATATCCATCTCGGCGCTCAGTACAAGTTGTTACTCGCACTTCAGCAATCATTGAATCCACACATTCAAACGTATCGGGTCCCGACGAAGTAGCAATCGAGTACTACAAGGTTGCGCCAAATCTTTTAGAACGCAACAACAAAGCTATTTACGATAATCAGTCGTCCAAGAAAAATATGTATAAACTACAACGATGGGTGCGCCATTCGCTGCTATACAAGACTAGATATAAATCACATCCTGAGGACAAACCGTCCAGCGACTCTGCTGGCTCATGATGCTAAGCTTGGTCCCCAGGTTTCTGAAAGGCTGCTTGAGACCGTGTGTTAATCACTACTACATGAAGATCACGTGTAGATCAATTTTCACTCTCTTGCTTGATGTCAAGACATTAAGAATCATGCATGGACATGTGTTCCAACGCTGCGCTGATCTCGTCGATGCTTTCGATAGCTCGCCACGTGATCATTTTGGATTCGGCACACCCGTTTGAGTCTGGATTAGAATATTTACAGTTAGACTTCTGGCAGTTTAATGGTAACCAACTCACCATGAGACATCTTTCTACTTGGTGTCAATGGATCTCAAAGTGCTAAAGCCTTCGGACGATGTGGTACTATTAGAAGTACTTTAAGGTGAGAGTGTGACACTTGAGCGAGAATTTAGTGGATTATTTGTAAGATTTGAATAAGATGCGTGGTGTGAAAGTACTGTACACGTACATTGCGAGGCAAGGTGTTGCACTCACAAAGCGTTATCCTGAGGTTGCATTAGTATACAGCCAGTGTACATCTAGCAGACCTAATCTTTTTCGAGCAGTTTACGCTTTTGCCCGAAATTTCGGTCACTCCAAGGATCAGACGGCAAATATGCTGCTGAGAGAACATTGTAAAAAATGGATTTATACAGGCGTGTTGGAGGAATAATTAAGTTTGATACCCATCAAGGCTTCTATCCAAACTAAGCACCTCAAAGCGTTTAGGGATGGAATTGCCTCGACCCTTGGGCTGAATGTCGATCCCAGCTGCTACACTCCGGCAGTTTAGCTCCTTACAAAATTATCAATTTCTCTTCGTACTAGCTGCATACTTTCTATACGTACACATGAAGAGGATGCCTATGGAATGGACTTCTCGATTCTTTGAGGTTATTGTACGCGTTTGGGCGAAAATATACGCAACTTGACGTTCTTCAGACTGGATGAGGGTTTGTGTCGTGCCATCTTGACACAATATATACATTACATTTGGCAAAGTTAAATCCCATTGACCGAAGTCACTACGAACATAATTGACCTGCTGAAAGCATTACGCTTAAATTGCCTAACGACATTGTGAAGCTTCACGGGAGCTTCACAACACAAGTATCACTACATAGTTCACCTCAATCGGAACATTTCGATCGAGGAACGGTTAATGTTCGATACAGTTTTGTGTTCCTAACTTGGCCCCCCACATGGACCTATGGTAGAATCGTCCATTCAGATTGTTTGTGCTTACCACGGAAGAGGTCTCGAAGACAATTTTTAGTCATAAATATGTCGAACCGTGACTTTTACCATTCATAGCATTATGTATTCCCAGTGTAATATGATCTAAAGTTCCATCCGCAGCTTACGCATTTCAATTTCTAATCAAGCCCTGATTAAGAATAGAAATCGTTTAAGTGGTTTATGTACGCGTGAATACACAAACGTTGAATCTGCCCAACATCTGTTTCGAGCTTACAAAGTGGCATCACACCGATAAGAAGTCTTTCTTCAACCTTTCAACAAATTCATAATTTAAACATTTTTTGGACAATATTTGTCTTTCCTGAATATTCTTCTTCATCATTTTGCTTCTCAGCATTATGTGTAAAGGAAAACACTTACCCTGGTACGAAAGGGTGGGTCACACAAGATTGTGTGACCGTAATAATATGTCGATTACACGAGTAGTGTGTAGTCACACAATGGCGTGGCTACACCGTAGCAAGTTATGCATATAAATTTGGTTTTGGAAAACATAAGTGTTAAATTTAAGCGGCTCAGCCGCCCATAAAAAACATAAATACAGTTCCAATTTTAACCGGAAGAGTACATTTGCCTTGGGATAAGGTTTTCGGTACTCTTAGAGGTAGCGGGTTGCGATCCGCTACACTCATGCTGGTTCTAGTATAGAACGTAAGGTCGGTGACCTTTGTAAGCTTTCTCTAAGCAAAGAGCTACGGCGGCCCCGCTGCATTATGGATTTCTTACATTCTATCCTACCAATATTGTGTGTTGTTTGGCATTTTAAGCATCATGCAAATTGCAGAAACGACTTTACAAAACTTTTTTGCACGGCATCATGCCTTTGCATACATCAACTTGCACTTTCGGCAGTTTCGTCAACATGCGGTTTTAAAATGTCCACGCATCTACATTCAGTCGACAGATGAATTAAAAGTTGGTCTTCACATGCAACATTACGCATTCGTGACATTGACTACAATTTTCGGGCCGATCCGCACTCCATTATGACAACACTGGAAAACTACACATCTAACTTCATCTATCATAATACAATTTCTACCGTCAACAGTGGTGTTGACAAAAATTCATCAGCTACCGGAATTGCATTGAAACCATATCCCTCATTTCCAGGCTGACATCAAGAACAGCTGCTGATGAAGTCGGACCAAAGTCCAACAAGTTAAAACAAGTACGAGCAATCTCAGATCCAAGCTGGGTGCGGAATATATGGATTGCAACCTCCCATGTTTTCACCAACCAAACTACTGGCTTTCAATATGGGTCCATGGCATATTAATATTACAACAATACGATCTCATTTACTTCCTGATCATGGCACGTTTGACCTCGCTAGCGATTGGGTCAACCTTTTCGCTCCAGACATTTTCAGACGTCTTTTCCCCAAAGCATTGTTTTCGTCACCCAGTCCACGGCTGGATACAATAAACACAGCTATCAACTTAACTTTGAATGCCAAGGACAATTGAAAATACCAACCTTTGGTGTATTTAGACTCTACACTTCGAACGCTTAACAAAATGGTCAAATTCTCAACATCAGGTCTCTATGCTTTCTACTCATGCTTAAATGGCCAGGATTCACGGCTAATTTCATGACACCAAGTTTGATGCGTTTTCATGGCAATCCGAAGTGCGCCCGCCATGATCCATGAATGGCTTTTTGGCTATAACAAGTCTCTCGTCGGGCACACACCGTCTCCCGAGTCGGAGTCGACACACCATTTCCAAGTCGGCTACACCACACTGAAAGCACCAATAGCGCCTCTTGGTTAAGCTTCTTCGATCACAACTTTAATTTACGCCCTTTCAGTAATATCGACACAAACGATCCCCTAAATACACTTCTGGATCGTAATATGGAATCGGTCAACTCAATATCCAGCTCACCCACCACCCAGGCACGGGATCATGCCTTATTTGTTTTAATTTTAAGAGTATTATGATTAAAATTAATGCTCTTTTCGACGGCTAGCAGCCTATACGTTCCTCGTGCCTTTCCTATGTGGATCTTCATAACCAAATCAGTACCGAGCACAAATGTTGATACTTCTTCGTCGTACTTACAATCCACGTGGACAATAGTGTAATCTGTACGTACCTCATCACAATAAACTGTACAAGATACACGATATTTAGCACGCCAGAAGAAAGAACAGGAATAATATCAATGTCTTCTTCAGCTAAAATTAAGCTGAAGACTAACTCAATACGTTGTCACTGAAAGTGCTCATCGGTCAGTCAAAAACTGATTGTGTCTACCAAATTTCTGATATGTACGTGCGGTCAGATATTACTGCTGGTGTTACCTTAACCATTGGCTTTTAATAGTCACTGTAGACATCACGTTGTCAAGAAGCTTGGAGTTTTGTGCTATAGTGTGGCAGGGCAATCGACTTTGCTAACTCACATACAGCACCAACTGTTTTAGACTTCAAAAAAAGGTCGAACGGGCATTTCTCACAAATAAAATCGGGTTCCTCGCGCGTTTACAGCGCATAGTCAGCTCAATCCGGACTAGCAACATCTTGCACTTCTTAAAAAAATCATTTTTAAACAAATAGCGTGCCGAGGTTCGATATATCCGTATATGTAGGTCAAGTTTACGGCTGGTTACAAATGTTTGGGATAAGTTTTCTCATAAAGCACTAGTCTGAAAGATCAAGAGTAAACCGTATCACAAACCAAAAATATACTCTCTTGCAATTATTATCGAAATCTTTTTTAAATAATCATTTAAGATCCAATGAAGCAAATCGCCAGACGATTCTTCCTCCTTGTTTTCTCCATAAGCGCCTCCAATTGCTATCTCGGGACGCAGTTGGTGGTTGCTATACCTGCCGACTCCGGTGCTGCTAATAATGCAAGTGAAATTGCACCGAATATGTCGAGCTTAAATGAGTCAAGGACCAATAACGTCGAAAATATAAGTGCTAAAATCAAGCAGTTTAAGTGGCGAGTTGGTAGTTCCTCAAGATTGACTGCGATTTATGATGCGGTTAAGTATAGGATAAAGAAACCTATCTCCGAAATCTATGATCAATATCTGGAGAAGTTGCTTCAGTTCGACGATTTCGAGAATGCTCTGAAAAGTCCTGAGATGGAGGCTTTGATTAACGTTCGCTTGAAGCACAATCGTAAAGAAAAGATTAGAAATCTACGCTCGCTGATCGCGCAACTTTCTGAAAAGTACGGGTACGACCTCGTGCTGAAAAGACTTCCTGAATTGGCATGGAGCGAAGATTACAGCCAGCACATGATAAAGCACCATATACAAGATGTACGACGTCAGAACTGGCTAAAAGATAATTTGTCTATTGACAAAGTTATCGATCTGCTGCAGTTTGGTGACGATCTTTCTGCAGACATACAAAATGGAAACTTGAACGAACTGAGAGAGTACATCATATTGCGTGGCCGCGAGGAGTATAAGAATGCAGCGTTGCCACCTGAATACGTCGATGACAAACTGGTCACGAGTTTGATAAGAAAATTTGGTGGAGAAGGAAAGTTGATGCAGCAACTTAGTAACGCAAGACTTTCATTAGAAAATGCTAGTATTGTCGATAGTTTAGAAGCCGCTTTCTTTCGCGATTGGCTTCACGCATCTGATTCTCTTTTGTGGGATCAAATTGACATAAGCAACGACGTTTTCAAAGCATTAATGAGCGGAAATCTGGAGATTGTTCATAGATATTATGCTCTTCGGTATCCAGACCGCCGACTCCTTGCCGTTCAGACATATGTAATGAGGTATAAAGAGGATGAATTGATGGTGGCACTTGCACTTATGAAGCTTAAGCCGTCCATGAAAGAATTTGCAACAACGGTGCAGCATGAGATGTATGAATACTGGTTGACGAAAGGACCCCATCATTTAGAAGATGTGATTTCATGGTTAAAAATTGGCATAGAAGACAATCTCATCATCACCATCATAAAACTGGAGATTTTGAGTCGCTTTATCATTTTCTTGAAACCTGACCCTCCCTTAGTGAGGGCAGAAAATTTGTGGGACCTTGCCTACTTGGCCGGCAGAGCACTTGAAGAGCGTGATACGGCGAATTCAGAATTGATTGAAAAGTATGATCCGGTTCGGTTAGGATCTGCCGCCACAATTCTTCTAGACTTGATTTTTGATTTATGGAGTTTCGAAAATATCCAGCCGCGTGAACTTCTCACCTATTTAAAAAAAGACATACAGGTTGGTAACGAAGAGACCACGAAGAATTTAATAGTCAAGAAATACGAAATGTTTATTGAAGAGGAGAATCTAAGGAGCAGGCCGTATAATGATCCGAGATAGATCCTCTGCATAGTATCTAAGCACACGTTTTGTTATCAACTGAATGCATTTTAACTGTTTGAATTAACTATATTTTGACAGAATACACACCTTTACGCCAGTCATCAAAATCAATTTGCCCTGCGTCCTAAATACCGCTCCATAAATTGTTTAAATGAGCTAACTAAATATAAAGGTGCTGATCTGATGGCCTCTATTCCTTCCATGTCTGACAAAATGCCATGCAACTTAGATACTGAAGCAGGAAACGTTGTTTCTTTATGCACCGACCCACATTGAGACAAAAACACGAGTGTTTTTTAGGGGCTTTGTTGCTTTTTTGTCCACCATTTATAAATCTGAAATCCATTATGTTTAAACCACAAAATACAACAGCAGATACTTCGCTAACTCCCACCAAAAAGACAAATCCATGGTTCGTTTGTACGGCTGTTCTATCGCGCTGCTTTCGGCTATCGCATTCGCTTCTACTTCATTTAGTGAGGAGGATGTCGGCACAGAAAAATCTACATCGCACAGTCCAAACGATGTTTACACAGCGTCTGCCCAGAAAGTTGCGTCGTGGGAAGTACAGCCCGATGGATCTGCCATTACCAAAGATTCAAAATCGCCTTCGCCTCTTAGTGCCAAGGCACAAATTCGGAGGGACGAGAACGGCAAGTGGATCGTTGTGCCTTATGAGAAAACTGTAGGCCTTGATGTCATATCTTCACCACAGCTGCCACAAGCAAAACAAGCTGAGGCGATCGAAGCTGAAAACGACGTTGATGTCGTCGAAAAGGCGACCGATTCGATGTTTCTGACCCCATCAAAGTCTTTTCTTGCACTGGAAGCTCGCATCGCTAATGAAGGATATACGTCCGAGTTAATGGACGAGCTAGTGAGAATATCTCAGACATACGAAGATCCTCCAGATCAGCGGAAGGGGAATGATTGGGCGTTTGCAGTCACACACATGTCGTTGAGACAATTATTCAGGCCTAATAGCATGACAAAAGAAGATCAAGTGTTTATTGACGCGATCTTTAACCTTAAAATTGCCGCGGATTATGGAGCACAAGTGGCACGTGAAGTCATTGCCATGCTTGATCTCATTGGTGTGCCCGATCCAGACGAGTTGGACGATCCGAATTTGCCCCCACTTTCACGAGAAGAACGGAGACTCGAAGGAATTGAGGCGCTCCAATCGTTAGCTTCTTTTAATGACTCGATGGCAATGCTGACTGTGGCGTATGGCACGTTGTCTGGTGAAATTCCAGCACAATCCACCGATCTGAAAATTCTTGCAGATTCAGACGCAGTGTGCGAAGCAGCCGCGACTCTTTATCGCAAGTGTGCAGACCATAATGTATATGTTATTGCTGCTGAAGGAAATGAGCGATTTCCTGATATCGTGCGCTTATCGGGCCGATCGCGTAGTAGCGCTTGGGATGTGATCGGATTGGGTGGCTTGGATTACGAAAGCCAACCTCTCGCTTTGATCGAACACTATCTCACAATTGCTAACGATCCGATGGATAAAGAATATTTACGGGCGATGCTGTATCTTGGTGACCTCTACTTCTCTGGCGATCCGGCAGCTCATATTGCACCGGATCAGAGACTTGCTGCGCAATACTACCGTCGAGCTGCAGAAGCTGGTAGCTCGGCGGCTCAAGCCAACTATGGCATGGTTCTTGCCAAGGGTATGGGGGTCGTGCAGGACTATGCACAAGCAATCATGTATCTTAATCGCGCTGCTAAAAAGAATAATTCATTCGCTTTTTTCGGCCTTGGTGAACTCTACTTCCGCGGATATGGCGTACCACAGAATGTCTCCCTTGCTCTTAGCTTTTTCAATGAAGCTTTGAGTCAAGGCTATGCGCTAGCACACTCATTTCTAGGATCAATCTATTTACACGGTCAAGAAGGTGTGCCAATCGATCACAACAAGGCCTTATATCATTACAAAGCAGCTGTCAACGCGACGGGTGGCAAGGCAAGTCAACCACTCCATGACTTGGCTGGCATGCACTACCATGGGTATGGCACACCACGTTCGTGTGCCAAAGCTTTACCTCTTTTCCGCTCGGTTGCTTTGCATCACGACATCAATTCAAACTTTCCTTTTTCGCACGATAAAGCGTACGAATGCTATAAGAAAGAAGACTACCTTCGTGCGTACCTGCAGTACCGACTCATTGCCGAATTAGGGGATGTAGACGCACAATGCAATGCTGCTTATTTGTTGGAGCACCATGGAGACAGCATCTTTAAGTGGCGCTGGCTTGCCCTTTCGGCGAGAAGCACAAGTAATCCGTTATTACATGAAGCATTTACTCTATACTCGCAGGCAGCAGCGTTGAACGACTCGGAAGCGATTCGAAAAACGGGTATATGTTACCATGAGCCGTGGGACGGCGTTTGTCCTAGCAACCGTACTGAAGCATTCAAGCGGTACCAGCTTGCCGCAGAATTAGGCGACGCACAAGCTGGTCACAACTGCGGATTAATGCTGTTGACAGGCGATGGAATTCCGCAAAACATGACAGCAGCGAGAAGCCACTTTGTCCATTGCAGCAATGCAAACTTTCCTGCAAACGTGCCGTGTGCTCTCGTGCTTTTAGGACTTGGTTTTCTACAGAGTATCAAAACACTCGTCGGCTGGATTTGAACAGGACCAATAATTCTCTAGCGTAGTGGCTAGAACGGTATGTCTGTCTATTAGATCTCGTTTTTGGTTAACAAGTTTATAAAATCGCATAAGTATCTACTCCAATCTAGACGGTATCGCAACGTTTCAAGTCGCTCTCCCACGAGAGTTTTCGCTTCTTCGGCTTGAATCCAGCGGCGATAGACGCAGAGCGCATAGCTCCACGTACTTTGCGTACTTGCCACCACTTGCGAATCTCATCACAGATCAAAACGCTTGACGCGATGCAACAGACGTAGACTAAATCATTAATTGATAATGCTTCAGTCTGAAACGTGGCTTGAAGTGGCGGAAAGTAGATCACAAGAAACTGCCCCAATAGCGACGCGCCGACCGCGTACACGAAAATCGTGTTGGAAAAGATCCCAATTTCAAAAATTGACTTGTCATCTGATCGACATGAAAGTGCATTAAACATGTCAAACATGACGAAGGTCGTGAAGCTCATGGTTCGATCGCGCTTGCTTATTGTGCCATCTGCACTTAGCTCGACATAAAAGACGTATAGTGTACCCCACACGATAAAGCACGCCGACGTGAGCACACGACGAACCATCGTGCTTGTGATAATACTTGCGTCTTTAGGACGAGGACCTTCCCTCATTACATCGTGGTCAACAGGCTCGACCCCAAGGCTCTGTGCTGGTGGTCCATCCATGATTATGTTGATCCACAAAATTTGCATAGCATTCAATGGCGACGGAAGATTAAACAGCGTCGAAAACGCAATCAGACAGAGCGCTGAGATACTCGTACTCAGCTGAAAGCGCAAAAAGTGTTTAATATTGTGGTAAATCGACTTGCCTTCTTCCATAGCACACAGAATTGTGCTAAAGTTATCATCCAGAAGAATCATATCAGCAGCTTCTTTAGAAACATCCGTGCCGGTCGTACCCATTGCGATACCAATGTCTGCTGCTTTGAGTGCAGGCGCATCGTTCACGCCATCTCCAGTCATCGCCACCATCAATCCCACCTCTTGTAGAGCGCGCACAATCTTGAGTTTGTGATGCGGAGACGTACGATAAAAGACGCACGTTTTTAAGATCCGTTGCTCCAATTCCAACATGTCCATAATCTCCAGTTCCTGTCCCGAAATGACAAGCTCGTTAATCGCCTTATTTCCGTCTTTATCACTTTCCGCACTTCTAAATTCATTGTTTGAGATGATTCCAACTTTTTTTGCAATAGCAATGGCCGTTTCCTTGGAGTCGCCCGTCAACATAATGGTCTTCACACCGCTATGAGCCAATTCTTGAACCGCCTTTTCCACCTCGGCACGAGGCGGGTCCAAGATCCCAATAAGACCAGCAAAAACCATTCCTCGATCCGAGTGATCGCCAAACGCCAAAGCCAAGACTCGCAGCCCACGTGAAGCCATTTGCTGTGATGTTACAAAGATGCGCTCTCGATCTCCTGGTGTCATGTCTTTTTCACGCCCACAATTGTCTTCGATCTTGTCACAGCGCGACAGAATGGCCTCAGTCATGCCCTTAATATGCCATCGAGCAGCACCATCCGTCGGAGACTCGCAACATACTGCCATCCACTTTTTTTCCGAGCTGAAAGGTACTTCACTCACGCGTCGATATTTTTGTGTTACTGCGGTGGTTATTCCCACTTTCTGCGCACACAATAGTACCGCACCTTCTGTAGCTTGGCCCAACACCTCGCGATCCTTGATACATGCATTATTACAAAGCGCACCAGATAGCAAACAATGATAAACATGAGGATGGGAAGCTTCAGTCACTGGTTCACCACGCATCGTAACGGTTGACTGAGCGTTTGATTTTTTCAATTCAGAATCAGCTATCTGCAAAGATTCTTGCGTCCGCTCGCCGATTCCTTCAACTATAGCCGTCACACTTTCGAATGGGGCGAAAATCTCTTGCACTTCCATCTTGTTGGTCGTAAGTGTACCTGTCTTGTCCACACAAATAACATTAATGCATCCAAGTGCTTCGACAGCTGGCAGCTTCTTCACAATAGCCTGGCGCTTGGCCATTTTCATGACTCCAAATGCTAGTGTGACTGTCACACAGATTGGTAAACCCTCTGGAATTGCAGCGACGGCTAGCGACACACCAATCTGGAGCATGGTAAGCATACCTTTGTTTTGTATTACACCAATCAGCACAATCACTGCAATGACAGAAAGAGAAAACATGCTCAAGTGTTTTCCAAGCGTATCCATGCTGTGCTGCAAAGGCGTCTTACGCTCTTCCACGTTATGTACCACATCAAAGACTTTACCAAATTCAGTACGGGATCCAGTACCAATTACGACGGCGCGTCCACGACCAGCACGAACGAGTGTACCCATAAATATGAGATTTTTGCGCTCGGCTAACGGATGGAGATGACTATCTGCAATCGAATTGATCACCTTGACCACAGGTGCATTTTCACCCGTTAAGTTTGATTCATCCACTTCGAGGTCCACCGCTTCAAAAAGTCGCGCATCTGCTGGTACACGATCGCCGACATCTACTACCACAATATCTCCCGGCACCAACTCTTTTGCAAACAATTCCACTATTGATCCATCACGTAGAGCTCGACATCGTGGTGGCACCAGTTCTTTAAGAGCTTCTAGTGTCTTTTCGGAGCGATATTCTTGTACAAAAGCTACAGTCACGACAATAGTGATGGCTACTGCAATAGAAATGGCGTCATCCGTGTGTCCCATCGCAACACTCACGACGCCAGAGCCCATGAGAAGCATAATTAGTGGATCTTTGAATTGATTAATAAATTTAATGATGACCGATTCGTCTTCATCGCCTGCCAGCTCGTTTAGTCCACACTCGTGCTGTCGTTCGTGAACCTTCAACTCATTTAGCCCGTAATTGACGTCTACACGAAGTTCACGAGTCACTTCTTCATGCGAGCGAGACGATGCTTGGCTTAGTACACCACCTTCCATACTTATGAGTGATAACAAAAGGTTGTGGCCGTTGTTTAGCGACAGCAACGGCGTTACTGCGATCTCCGTGTCATGGGAAACTGTCGACATAATAGAAGGTGACACAAAATTAAGGTTTCACGATGCCGCTTGTGAGCGAGATGAGGCGAATCTAAGGGGAAGATATATGGAAAGTCAAGGCACTCGTAAAACGGTCGGTCGACGTAGTGAGAAAAAGCCGCTACTGACACGAAGGGTGACGGTTCGACGGCCCACGTATCAGTTACTAACAAACTTATGTCGAGCTATATAATTCAGTGAGATACCGGTACGCACTAAACTACTTGCCGAATTAAATGTAACTCATTAACGACTCTGCACGTCTCAATCGCACTTTGGGCATGGAGAACGCACAGCGTGTGGTTGCAGACATTGTGGCAAGATGTCGGTATCGAGGCGTTGATGTGTCAGAGACACTTGCTGCATTTACAGTGCGTCTGATGATTCATCGTAGTCGACGCAATATTGTACTGGAGCGACAAATGACTCATGAAGACGAGCTGTATTTAATTGAGCAATGCGTAAAGGCTTTATTACTTAAAGATGATCCAGCCATGGAGACGGTCAAGATGCAACTCGAATTTGATTTGATCTATGCAAATCTTGAAGAGGAATTGCACATACGTAAAGAACGTCAGGAGCAATCGGTATCCAAGCTGCAGCGCACAATTGCTACACTTGTACCAGATACTGCCACTGACTTCGAGACTTTATCAACGTTATACAAGCACATTTTTACGCTTCTGATGCTGGATGCAAGCAAATATACCCGAGACAATGTTAAGAGCGTTGCGGACAAGAATCAGCAACAAGGCGAACTTCGAGCTTTAGAGAAAGAAGTCGCGGGAGCTCTTGAGAGCGTCTTTCCACGCATTGGACTCAAGTCTTTTGCGACCATGTCCACGGATGACAAACTGCTTCAGTTGGATGAACTTCGGCGCATTGTTGAAGGTATTCGCCTTTTTAACAAGGAGTTAGGTAAAGGAGGTGTCGGTATCACATCTAGTGCTCTAGAGATCCAAGAAAATGTTGCTACATTGGTAAACCTTGTTCGAGACGAAGTGCAGGAAGCAAATGAGATGTGTACACAATATACAGAAGTGCTATTGCACGTACATCACCGACTCGGAGCAAATGGTGAAGTGGAATCATCCGGATCTTTACCAAGTCACGACGAAGTTACCCGATGGCAAGACGAATTGAGCAATCGACGACAATTTCTTTCGTATCTGCAAAGTCTCGATGAGGATATCGCTGTATCTCATGAAAAAATTAGTTCGCGATTAAAGATGTATCAGACTGACATGAGTGCACTGCAAAATCTTGTGGGAGCGCGGACTTCCCTACCAAAATCGCATGTTTATCCACTCTTTGAAGCTGTTTCTCGTTCCTGGACTGAGTTGCTTCAGGAGCACGATTTGCTACAGGCCCGTGCTCAAGCATTAAGATCATTATTGTGCTTCAAATCGAACTTTACTCAAACTCTATCAGTTGACTCATCCATTGCACGACAAGCTCGACGTGAATCGTCAATTCCGACAGAAGATCTCTTTTCGCATATTGAAACTTTTCCGACAGAAGGTCAATTGGAGACGACTGATAGATTTGGACGTAAAGATGGAGATTTGGTCGAAGATGAAGTTAATTGGGATTTGAAAGGCTCTGATTTTGCTGTTCGAATGCCAGTTGAGACGACGCCTGAATTTATGCAATTACCGCTCGAGTATCAGGGATTCTGTCCATGGACAGTAGTGGAACGTGGAGGTTTGTTGCTACCAGGAGATCCTTCATTAGGTGTTGTTCAGTACCGTAATGCCTACCACGTTTTCGTCAATGAACGCGCACTAGGTGAGTTCATGCTTCAGCCTCATCGCTACGTTCAAGGTATTTTACATCGCGCAGCACGTCAACCAGCTCTTATCTATCTGCTAAGACTACAAGAGTCTTTTCCAAATATTACGTTGACTTCGCTGCTGAAAATGTGCCATCGTTATTATGCTGAAGGAGCGCAAGGAGTGCATCCATTACTGGCTCCTCCACCGTCACAGAAAGTCGATGCAAGCACGAGCACGCCCACACACTTTATTGAAAAGCATATAGACTACAATTACGATTGGAACGAGTGGGATCTCCGTCGTAAAGCTTTGAAAATTGCTAATCTTCGACACTGTCGAACTGTCGGCGCGCAGACTTTACTCAGCAGCTTCCGTCGCGACGTCGACACGCAAGTTTATTTACCGTCGAATATTGCCTGTCAAACCTCTAGAGAACGAGGTACGAATGTGCCGAAAGTCGTAACTTATTTCACAGGATTGCGCCGAGGTCACGTTTACACTATTGACGACGCCAGGCGTGCTGAAGCGAAGAAAGTGGAAAGTGACATGAAAACGAATCTTGAATTTGGACAAGACGGAGAAGAGAGCAAACGTTCTGACGAACCAGCGGTAATCGTCTCGTGTACAATTGATTTATCTTAAAAAATGCTTTTAGAATCTAAAAATTAAGCCATAAACTTTCTTTAAGGTTAATGAGCTTGAGCTCACAATCGATGGTTAGAATAGAAAACATCAACGATTTCACCTGTCCTCGACCAATTACTTACAAACTGAAGATAAGTTCCGTAAACTTCGCCGTGTCGACAGTTTGGCTACCATCGAAAAGCTCTGGCGCGTGCTTTTTAATAAACTCGATCTGGGATGCGTCAAAACGCTCTTCAATCAGTTCCAAAGTAAGCTCTTCGCCAGTGAGAATATCCAGTGCCTCATATACGTCATCCTTCGTCGATCCACTCTGCAGTTGCTCCGTGCAGAACATGGCAAAGCCATCAAAAGATATTTCATCGTTGTCCTCCGCATCAATTTTGTCAAAATAGTCGTGGCAGTCGTCTTCGCTTAGACTTAGACCGAGACCCTTGCAAGCCATGATAAATTCATCACGAGCAAGAACACCGTCGTTGTCCAGATCAAAGTGATCAAAAACCTCTTGAATTTCTTTCGCTTGTTGGACAGTCAAACTGCCGACTTCACTCAATGCTAGCTCCATTTCCAATGACTTGACTCTATCGCGAACAGCCGTCTCAAGTGATGAGAACTGCGCACGTAAACCGTGAATTGTATCCGTGGTGAACGGATTCGTGTGCACTTGCAGTCGTTCCAGCTCCTCATGAATCCGCTCTAGTTTCTCCATATCTTCGGTGAGCGGCGGCATAATTCCCGCCGCCTGATCTTTAGCTTCTTCTATCTGTTTCACCCTGGACTCCGGCTTAGCAGCCTTGTCGCCTTCTTCACTCTCAGGATCAACAGTCTCTGCAATTGGTGTCTCTACACCAGTAATTTCGGGATCCTCGGGTTTTCCCTCCGTTTCGTCTTCCAGCGTCAGAATGGTGTTGGAGCGGAACAAACGGTGGCGCAGCTGCACCATAGAGTTAAACTGGTCCTTCAGCGATCCCTCGACAACGTTTATTGACTGAGTGCTCTGGGTGCAACGCTCTTTAATGCGAGCAGACAAATTGGCAAACTCGCGACATACTTCATCGCGCTTTTCCACATTTGCGAGTTCTTCTTCGTAGTAGCCACGTTTCTCAGCCAGCGAGTCCAACAACTTCTGCACACGTGCGTTGGTCTTTTCAATAAGTGCAACATCGTTGTCACGACCACCTTCGGCTAAAATATGCTTCTTTTCAATCAGCTTTTCATTTTCGCTCACAACAGCATTTTGCACCTTTGGAACCAGTACAGTGTCAAATTGATGCTTAGCAGCGATGACGCCTGCTGTTGACACGTCCTGCAGCTTCGTGGCCGCCTCCACCTCCTCGTCCATCTCTTCAATGACGTACTTGAGATTTCGCATTAGCGTCTTGGCATCCTTAGCAACGGCGTCCATATTTTGTTGTACGCGCAAACACTCTTCCAGTTTGGTCTTCACCCCTTCCACCGTTTCTTCTGCCATAGCAACAAAGCCCTTCATTGCCTCCACACGCTCCAGCGTAGCTTTTGTGTCATTGTGCTCCTCCGAAAGTCCGTCTGCTTCGTTCACGACGGTTGCCAACAATTGCTTGTAACGTGGAAGCTCAATATCCCGCAAAAAAGCAACGCTCTCCAATTTTTCCTCTGCGTCGGCTGTAGAAGTAACGCGCAGATTCTCAGCAAAAAGAGAGAGTGCCTCCTTTTCCTTGGCCCACAGCTCGACCTTTTCCAGATCTTTCACAACTTTCGTCAAAAAAATATCCGTCTTTTGGTAACTTTCTAGATTTTGACGCAGCTTTAGCTCAAAAGCCGTCTCAAGTTCGTCAAGTTGAGCCTTGAGCGCTTGCAATTTCTCAATAGGCGGATCCAAATTCGGCACAGCGCGTCCATTGTTCTTGCAGCTTGCAATCCATCGTCCAGCACATCCTTCCACGGCCACAAACTGAGCCTCACGTGGTGGCTTATCGTTCTTCTTGTAGTCTAGATGACGAACTAGTGCCTCCTTTATGTCCGGAATATGGCGAGGCTGACTTAGTGTCTGAAAACGCTCTGTCTGTTGTTGAAGCCAATCATGCAGACCTGATGCGTTCTTGTTAAACTCAATGGATAGATCTTGATGACGTTGTGCAATGTTCAGAGCCTTAGAAATTGTCGTCACAGCCTTCTTTTTCTGCACGCCTGATGCAAACTCCTTAAAGAGCAGTGACACGTACGTCGTAATACTCTTCTCGTCTGGCTTGATTTGTCCAGCCACGTTCTCGACCTCCAGAAGCTGGGGAATGCGCAGCTTCTCACGAGCAATGTCAAACGCAAGTTTCACATTAGTTTGAGCATCTTTAGGATTCAGTGAGTTGAAATCAATCAATGTAGGTGCATAGCGGTGGATGAGAGCACAAAAAGCCATGCCATCAGCCCAGCTAGCTGAAAAGTTCTTGACGTCGATTGTTGGGTAGTCCGCCAGGGAGCGATTGACCCAGAGCAGCAATCCGTCTTTACCAGAGACACCTTCGACATCGATTTCAGCTACTTGGAAGGCTTTAATTAGTGTCCACATGAGACCCAGAACTAACTTATTATTGCCGTCGAGGATATCGGACGATCCAATGTTTGTTACATTCACGTTCTTCTTTTGCATGAAAGCAAATGCAAAATTCAGATTCTCCATTTTTTGGATACGCATACGTGGCTTCTTGTTGAATTTCTGTCACCAGACATACGATAAAACAGGAACTGATGGTTAGGATACCAAAAGTAATCTCTACATCAAAATTCACAAGTTATGACGTACGCGGCACACTTTTTCGCGACAGATAATCTGAAGCAAGGAAATAAGGCGAATACCATCCTTCAGGTCCTCGTACAAGTCCTCAATCGTCATGCGCTTGCGCGAAAGGTACGTATTAGCCCACTACACATCACATTTGTTAGTTCCTCACATCAATTGTGAGCTACACTCATCTCTTTATCATAATACGTACTCTTGTGAAGGTATTCTTCTGTACATCAACCCACTCTTCATTATACCCCGCCATGTTGTCAGAAAAGCAATTTAAAAAGGAAAAAGAGGTGGTCTTGCTCGTAAATTCGGTGCGGTGTCTTGAGTTCGCTTTGTTTCACTGTTTGAAAGAGTGCGACTAGCTACAGTTGCACTAGTATCACTTCTCGGGATAAGTCGGCTTATGCGTTAAGCTGAGGCGGTTCTGCGTCTGTCTTGCGATTTCTCGATTGGCTTATCTCCGTGGCGGACCAGCAGGCGTACCGTACCGGTAATACTTCAATTACGGTTCTACGATCTAGATTGCCCTTTGGATGGGCTTTGTGGGTTTGCAATCGTGTTGTCATTTACTCACATTCACTACTTCCTTTATATGGGTAACAAACCCGCGATTGTATATTGCATAAAAACGACAAATACTGAGAGATACCGGTTCCTCAAAGAAGATTACGCGACAACGACGCACGACAGATAGTGCGATCTCAATCGTTCGCCATTACGATTCAGTTTCATAGACTATACTGAGGAATGTACGAAGTGGTAGCTACAAAAGCTTTGTTCTCTTGTCAAACAATGCAGAATAAGAGCAACTAGATTTGAAGTACATAACAGGATTAAGCTCACATTAGTGCGCTGGTGTGTACTTATCGAGTTTTGATGCGGTAACTCGTTCTTTTATGCACGAGAGATGAATATGAGAGACGCTTTACACATGATGGCCCATATGTTATAGCAGATTTCGAAATGGACTTTTGACCACACACTTCAAGTGTATTATCGAGCGAGTACATCAACGAACGAAATGGCAATGTGATGTTACCGTCCTTGCACTGGGTGTATGTGGCAACTTGCACTTACAACAACACTGTCCGTTTCTTGGCATATTACAAGCGGTAACTTACACCTGAACATTGCGTTGCTTCGTGACATCGTTGCTGGTATTAGTGTATACGAACAACCGAGCACGTTAACTACGACGCGCACCACAGCTTCGTCTGCTTCACGTGAGACTATTTATCACTAGCAGATCAAGCATGCAGCTGTTTGAAACGACTTACCCGCGAGTTGTATGGAAATGAACCCTTCTTATTCACTTATTCGATATTTTACGGTAGCTGGATAATAACGATGTCTGGGATCATGGGTTGTTGGCAAAACTGCGAAGATTTTCGCTAAGCTCATCAAAGAGACTTTTAGTTCGATGCAAAGTGCTACGCTGAATCGATTTGGATAAATATTTAGAAAAGGATATTTTATACAAATTATCATAAAGTTTCACTAACGGTGTACGTAACATTACACTGCATTCCCAGATGAAATGACGTCAAAAGTGTAACGGGTTACACGTACCCTGGTAACAGGGGGGTGTCACACGAGATGTGCATTGTGTGACTGCACCCAAACAAGAATACGGTATGTGAGTTGTACATGTATATAAATTTTACTATATATTGAGTAAAATCTATACATTCGAAATTAGGCGGTTTAGCCGCAGATAAAAATCAATTTTGAATTTAAACCGAAGAGTTTATTAGCCTTGGTTGAGGTAGTAACTACTCTTGGAGTTAGTGGATTGCGATCCACCACACTCGTATTGGTTCTTGTAAGGAACGAAAGGTCGGTGACCTAAATTACGCTTCCTCAAACGCTAAA